TCTTGGCTCCTCTCATTCCCTCCCTCCAGGAGACTCACTCATTGTCAAAAGAGATGAGGATGCTCCCAGAGAGCTGCTTCCTCCTCACCCATTCTAGCATGGGAGCCCAACAATCCAAGCCCTCTCCCTCAATGCCTGTGGGCTGCCTCCTGGCACAACTTAACCCCTTGGATTATTGGGACCAGACTTTAAGCCAAAAAGACTTGTTTTCTATTGAATCAGGTTTGGCCTTAGTATAGATTAGATAATGGCTCTCAATGACCCAAAAGTGGTACTTTGGATTTTAACATACTGCATGATTTACACAACTTCTGTCAGTGCAATGGCAAATGGTCAGAAATCCCCTACATATGAGCCCTTTTCTACCTATGCTCTCAATCCTCCCTCTGTCAAACCTGTTCTCCTTCTCAACTACTCCTAGCCTGAGCTTTGCTATCCACCCTTCTCGATTCCACTCTTTCTGATTTGTCACATTTGATCCAGCTAATCACTCACCACACTTCACACCTCCCCCACTTTATAACCCTCTAAACCCTTCTTCTGCTTCATCTTGTGCTTCCTCACCCCTGCCATTTTGTGGTCCTTCTTTGCATCTGCCATCTTGTACCTCTCCTTTGTCTCCTTTCACCTCACTACATGGTCCTTCTCCTCTGCCATCTTGTGACCCTCCTTCTCCTCTGTCATCTTGTGATCCTCCTTCTCCTGTGCCATCTTGTGACCTTCCTTTACCTCCTCCCCCCTCATCCCCACCATCTCACATCTCCCCACCTCACACCCATTCTTGCTATCCCACCCTTCCACCATTGGCCCTGGCCACACAGATGCCCCTCCAAGAAGTTGCTGGGACCAAGGGCATTGTTAGAGTACATGTTCTCTTCTCTTTCTCTGACCTTTCTCAAATTGAAAAATGCCTAGGATCCTTTTTCTCTGATCCTGATGTTTATATCAAAGAGTTTTGCTGCCTTACTCAGTCTTATGAAATGACCTGGTGAGATATTTGTACAATTCTTTCAATTACTCTCTCCCCAGAGGAATATCAGAGGGTCTAGAGGGTGGCCCAGGCAGCATTGGATGATTTTCATGCCACAGATCCAACTAAACTAGTGGGCACCCAGGCAGTACCAGATATTCAATCTGATTGGACTTACCAGGATGGAGACCCAGGCAGAGATCTCCAAGATTATATGATTGTTTGTCTCAGAGAAGTCTTAAAGAGAATTTCACAAAAGACAGTTAATGTCAATAAAATTAGGGAAATAACTCAGGAACCCCAAGAAAATCCAGCACAGTTTCTTTCTAGGTTGGCTGATGCTCTTCAAAAATATATCAAAATTGATCCCACATCTCAAGCAGGCATGATTGTTATTAACATCTATTTTATTTCACAGTCTTCCCCTGACATCAGGAGAAAACTAAAAAGCATGGAGGAGGGCCCCCAGGCCATGCAAACCAAGCTCCTCGATGTCACTTTTAAGGTGTTCAATCACCGTAAGGAACAATTAAAACAACAAAAAGTGGCAAATTAACAGATGCTGGCAGCAGCCCTACAGGGTAAACCACTGTGCTGCAAAAGGACATTTACTCACGATGGGCCTCCTGGGGGCTGCTAAGTCTAATCAGACTGGACACTGGGCCAAAGAATGCCCCAGTCCCAAGCCACTGCCTGGCCCTTGTCCTGTCCATAAGCAGATGGGTCACTGGAAGGTTGACTCTCTCCTTCGCCAATGAGGTAAGAGGCCATCCCCTCCTCAAACCCAATCAACAGGTGCAGAGATGTCTCTGTCAGAGCTCATCATCCTGGCAACAGAGGATTGACGGTGCCCAGGGTCATCTGCAGCCCCCACGGCCATCACTCTCAATGAGCCCGGGATAACTGTCAGCATCTCAGGTAGCCCTATTTCATTTTTTACTTGACACAGGGGCTACCTACTCAGCCTTACCACAGTATTCAGGCCCTACCCATCCCTCCACGATAACTATCATGGGAGTTCAGGGAATAGGAATACCCTCAAACCCACTAAGTACACCACATCTAGCTTGTTCTTTGCTGGGCAGTACATTTTCACATAGTTTCTTGGTTATTCCTAGCTGCCGTACCCTCATCTTAGGGAGAAATATTTTAACCAAGTTTAGGGCTTCACTCACACTTTACTCAGCCATTTCAGATCCTACTGGCATTCTGTTGCTCCTGGCTGTCCCCTTGACTGACTCATCCCCCAATCTAACTTCAGCTTCTCCTAGGGAGCTTTATATTAACCCCTCGGTCTGGGACACCTCTACCCCTTCTGTGACTAAACATCACTCTCCCATTCAGATCTCTCTCAAAGATATCACTCAATTTCCAAATGTTCCCTGTAGGGAGCAATGCTACATAATTTTAGGGTAAAATCATTTGGTTAGCCTAATTCTCTTGCCTACAGCCCAGCTACAGAATAACTCCAGTTTGGCCTCTGGTCACAACTGAGACTTCAGTGATCCAGTGATGCTGTGATTCTCTAGGACAAGAAATATCCTGGGAGCTGAAAACATCCTGGAAGAACAAACATCTGCTCAGTTCCTCATTGTGCTTAGATTTCTACTGCCCCCCAGCCTATTGTTACACCTTGTTTATCCCAATGTGAACTATTGAACTCTATTTTTCATTTGTTACATTTGTTTCTCCCAATGTACTGAATAAAAGGTGTAGTAAGCTGGGGGCTTTTGTCTTTGCCACCCAGAGCAGCACTGATCAAACCCAAAGCTCAGCTTCTTCTCAGTCTCATTTTTCTACCTTTCCTGTAATTTGTCATGTGCTGCCGTGGCTTGCAGGAGACCAGGACTCACTGCAGAGGGTCTGGTAACATCCCCTTCCCCTGTTCCCTACAGTTCCCCAATACCCTTTTGCTTTAAAACATTTAAAAGGATTAAAGTCTGTAATTACCAGCCTACTTGACAAGGGACTTCTCAGACCAACTCACTCCCCCTACAACACTCTTATCCTTCCAATTTTAAAAATAAATTGTTCTTACCAATTGGTACAAGACCTGAGGGCCATCAATTCAGCTGTGTTTCACTTACACTCTGTTGTTCCCAACCCCTACACTTTATTGTCCCATATCCCCTCCTTTTCATGTTATTTCATGGTTCTAGACCTCTAAGATGCTTTTTTCACCATCCCCCTACACCCCAACATACAAAATCTTTTTGCTTTCACATGGACTGACCCTGATACAGAACACTCTCAACAACTTATTTGGACAGTTTTTCCACAGGGTTTCTGGGATACTTCACACCTCTTTGGACAGGCATTGGCTACTGACCTTTTAAAATAAACCTGTCTCCCTCTAAGCTACTCCAATATGTAGATGATTTACTTTTGTGCAGCCCCACCTTCACACTCCCAACAATGCACAGCCTCACTATTTAATTTCTTATATGAAAGGGGATATCGAGTCTCCAAGGACAAGGCCCAATTCTCCCAACTCATAGTACAATACCTTGGGGTTAAAATCTCATATCAACAACATGAGATCACCTTGGACCATAAGCAACTTATTCAGGAGCTCCTGATACCTCCCTCCAAAGCCAAGATCCTGACTTTCCTGGGGCTTGCAGGCTTTCTCTGCTTATGAATAGCAAATTTCAGTCTACTTGCTAAACCCCTGCATGATGCTTCCAAGGGAGACCCAAATGAACCTATAAATAACACTTCTATCAAGGCACCATTTCTCAAGTTTCAAGCCACTAGCCTCTCTGCTCCAGCACTGGCTCTTCCAGATCTCCAAAAACCATTCATTCTGTATGTCATCGAATGAACAGGACTGGCTTTGGGAGTTCTGGGACAAAATATAGGATCACATTCTGTTCCAGTAACCTACCTGTCTAAACAGCTTGATTACACTTTCCAATCCTGGCCTACATGTTTATGCACTCTGGCGACTGCTTCTCTCTTACCCCAAGAAAGTTCCAAACTTACCTTTGGCCAACCAATGACAGTAAAGTCACCCCATCACTTACAGGACTTACTCATTATAGCCTCTCACACCTGTCCCCCTCTAGGCTACAGCTCTTCTATACCACTTTTATAGAAAACTCATCTTTCTCTCTTCAGTCCTGCCCCTCACTTAACCCAGCCACTCTTCTTCCTGAGGTCATTCAGACACTCTCTCAGTTATGCACAGAAACAATCAAAACTTTCTTCCCTCCCTCCCTAATGTCTCTTCAGAGTCCATCTCAGATCCAGAGTTCACATGGTTTATTGATGGTAGCTCAATTCCCACCCATGTGCTGGGTCAGAAGGGGACAGGATATGTGATAGTTTCTTTCACACAGACCACTGAGGCTAACACACTCCCACATAATACTACCTCTCAACAAGCAGAGTTAATTATTCTCACCCAAGCTCTAACCTTAGCTCACAGCAGGCGAGGTAATATTTATACTGATTCCAAATATGCATAACACATCCTACACTCTCATAATTCCACATGGAGAGAAAGAGTCTTTATGACCACAATGGGATGCCCATTGTCAATGGATGTGTGATACATGCCCTTCTCCAAGCAGCCACCCTCCCAACACTAGTGGGGATCATTCATTGTAAAGGACATCAATCCTCTTCCTCTCCTATAGTTCAGGGAAACAATAGAGCAGATCATACTGCCCACAACATGGCACAACAATGTCTTCCCCAAAGCCAAAATCAGACGTTAATCATTCCACCCTTAAAACCTAACTACTCTCCTCAGGAAAAGTCCAAATACATGAAAAAGGGTGCTACACTAAGGAATGATTGGCTTCTATATCAGGGATGTCATGTCATACCTGATGACCAAATAATACCTCTCCTTACTGACATACATACTCACTCCACATAGGAACCCAAACCCTCCTACATCTTCTCAGGCCTTTTGTACACCACCCATCCTTAATGACACACACACAGACAATAACACAGGCCTGTCCCATTTGCTCAACCACCACTGCCCAAGGTAGCTTTCAAACACACACCCAAAACTCACCAGTCCAGGGGACAATGACCCAGGGAAGATTGGCAAATTGGTTTCACACATATGCCACCTGTAAAAAAAGTTAAATATATTCTGAGCTTGGTAGATACTTTCACAGGGTGGATAGAGGCCTTTCCCTGCAGGACAGAAGAAGTGGCTGCTGTAGTTCATATGCTCCTAACAGGAATCATTTCTCCATTTGGCCTCCCTCATTCCATTCAATTGGACAATGGACCTGCTTTCATCTCTCAGATCACCCCACAGGTAACAGAGACACTCCATATACAATGGAAACTCCACATCCCCTATTGACCTAAATGATCAGGCAAGGTAAATTGAACCAATGGGTTAATTAAAACTCAACTAACTACTCTCTCCCAGTTCCACCACTCCCATCCCAGAGAAAGTGGATTCAGGGCCTCTGATCCATCTCTCCCAGCCCAGAGGAAGGGGCTTCTGGGCCGCTGTTCCACTGCTCCCAGCCTAGAAGAGGGGCCTTCCAGGTTGCTGATCCACTGCTCCCAGCCCAGAGGAGGTGAGTCATGCAGGCTCTTACAGCACCCTCTCACACCTTGTTGAAATGAGAAGACAAGTAAACAAGTCTCAAAACCAAACTTCCAGATCAACTACAGAAACCACTAAGGGAAATGAGGTAGAACACTCTGATACTAAACTGCCTGGACTCCTGGAACTGGCAACAAAAGAGAATTTGGAAAAAAAGAAATCAGAAATAATTTCTCAGATAACAACAGAGATTGTACTAGTAGTGCAAGACATGATTAATAAATCCAGAGAGGACACAGATTAAAACAATAGAGGAGCTGAGGAACATGATGGAATCCCAACATAGGAAACAAATGGAATCCATAAAAAAGACACAAACAGGCATCCAGAAAATTTAAAACTCTATTGAAAGTCTATGCAACAGAATGAGACAATGTGAGGACAGAATTTGAGATATAGAAGATAAAATTGCACTTAGTGACAAGGAAATGAAAATTTCTTTAAAATTGTAAGGGACCACAGAAAATCAATCCAGCAGCTGCTAGACAATGCAAAGAAGAATAACATAAGACTGATCAGAGTCAAGAAAGAAATAGGAGAGAGCGCAGATGACATAAAAAAAAAAAACTGTTCACAAAAGTGATGGCAGAAAATTCCCAATCAGGAGAAAAGAACTTGACATACAGGTAAGTGAGGAATATAGGACTCCAACTAGACTTGATCAAAAGAAATCTACACAGAGGCATGTAATTGCTAAGATTCCAGAAACCCAACAGAAGAACAAAGTTCTTCAAGCAGTTAGAGAAAAGAAACAAATCACATACAAAGGAAATTCCATCAGGATCACAGCAGGCTTCTCAACTCAAAAACTCAAGGCAAGAAGAGGTTGGAGTAATGTATACCAAGCCCTAAAGGAAAACAGCCTCCAACCAAGACTGATGTACCCTGCAAAAGAATTTTTCAAAATTGTTGGATATATAGAATACTTTCATGACAATGAGCACCTTAGGAACTTCATGAATACCAAACCAGCACTCCAAAAACTTTCAGACAATATCCTAGTAACAGACAATGAGGATCACAACCCCAGCAAGCACAGCAGAATGAACCCATCGGGTATGCAAGAAGTAGAATGCAAAGGGGGAGAATCCAACAAAAAGAAAAAGACATAACAATGATAAATGAATATGTATCAGTTGTAACCATCAATGTTAATGGTCTCAACTCACCAATAAAAAGAAATAGACTGGTAGAATGGGTCAAGAAGCAAAATCCTACAATATGCTGCATACAAGAAACACACTTAATTCAAAATGAAATTCATACACTGAAAGTTAAAGGCTGGAAAACAATACTCCATGTGATGGGAACCCCCCCCCAAAAAGCAGGAGTAGCTATCTTCTTTGAAGATCAAGTAGATTTCAAACCAACACTCATTAAGAGAGACAAAGAAGGACACTACATATTTGTAAAGGGAACAATACAATGGGAAGAGATGACAATCATAAATATGTACCGAACAGTAGTGTGCACAACTGTATAAAACAAAAACTAACAGACATGAAAAGTCATATATGCACAAATACAATTGTAATAGGGGACCTCAACACCCCACTATCACAAAGAGATAGATCAACTAGACAAAAAGAAAGTAATGAAATACTAGAACTCAATCAAACTCTTGAACAAATGAATTTAACAGATGTTTACAAAGTGTCCCACCCCAGAAAATCAGAATACAGACTCTTTTCAGCTGCACACAGGATGTTCTCCAAAATAGACCACATACTTGCTCATAGAATATGTTTAAGTAGATCCAAAGGAACAGAAGTTATCCCCTGTATATTATCAGACAATAGTGCAATGAAATTGGAGATCCATAGCAAAGGAAATGACAAAAATTTCATAAAAACATAGAAATTGAACAATACACTTCTGAATAACCAATGAGTCACTGAGGAAATTAAAGAAGAAATCAGACAGTTCCTTCAATTAAACGACAATGACAATAAAACATGAAAATCTATGGAACACAATGAAAGCAGTCTTATGAGGGAAATTGATAGCAGTGAATTCACATACTAGGAAAACAGAG